CCCCGTCTCTTTCATTTAAATGGTTTATCAGGCTTGCTGCGTCATTTCTCACTCCTCCTGGAACATCCCAGAGACTGCAAGCAGTGAGCAGGCATAGAAGCACCACAAAAAAAGGACAGAGAAACTAAGAGCAGATGCTGCCAGAGGTTGAAATAGCAGAGAGTGACTTCCTGTCTGTCAACCAAGGATTTGCCAGAAAAAACATGGGAATTCCCAGATTTCTAGTGCAACATAAGGTATTGGTGCATCAGACAGTCCCTTACTAGTATTTTAAAATACAGTTTTCTCTGTTCTTTATCTTACAGCGCATGCAGAGAAATTTTTAAAAATGCATGTGCATATACAGATGGTGAAACACACAGTACATAATAATATAATTTCACAGTATAAGCAAAGCCTATGTTGCAAAGCATTTGTAAGGAGCCACAGTTCTGATTATTTGGGCAAGATTAGTTCTTAGTTCTGTGCTGCATACATGTACATGCAGACTGAGATGCAATTTCCCCACTACTACCCCTACTCAGTTATGTATCCAGAGGGAAAAAAAAAAAAATAAAATCAGGTTAGTCAGTTCTGATATGAACAGGGAGCTATTAAGAAACTGCTTCTACGAAAACTAAGAATAAATCACTGCAGCAATTATCATGCAGATAATTAACTGTAAAAATTTCTGAATATATCTTTAAATGATTTTATGTCACATTATTTTTACATTCGATTCCCCTATTCTGTGAAGAGTGCTGCTCAAAGAAGGATCGGTCACACTGGCCTGTGCTGGATGGCGGGGGAGGGATGAAAGGAATGAAAGCAGTTATCAAGGCATTCGTAAGTAGTGAGCTCTTGGAACAACATTAGAGTTGAGGGTCATGGGAAACAGAAGCTTTGCTCACCCTTCTTCCTGGCAAAGTTTTCTGCATTTGGGCAACAAAGTAAAATGTTTTGTAACAACAGAAGGAGGAGAGGGAAAAAAATTAAAATGTGTATATTTAGCTCATTAAAAAAAAAATAAAAATACTACCACTTTGCTTTAAAGGAAATGAAACACTTTCCATATGAAATTCTTTCAGGCTCCTAGAGTTCAGGAATACAACACTCGATTAGATTCCTTTGATCAGACAACTAATATCACAGTCACATGAACTTCAGTATTGCACATAAACAGGGTTATGTGGTTTGGGGTTTTTTTTCCCCTAACACAGACACACACATAAACAGATGTAAGTAACATTTGTTTAGAGTCAGATAGGCACTTCCAGACACAGATGGTATGGAAGACCCCAAATCAAGCAGGATTCTGTCCAGCAAAGTTAAATGGCACTAAATGTCTTTACGAAATTTTGCCAAAGGAGTTTCCTGCACTCAGACAGTCAACCACACAGCCGATTCACTACATAGCTACTTCTCACCACTTAGGGAGAATGGATACCAACATATCAGTTTTATATAGCAAATGAGCTTAACATGCTAGTTAAACGCTCTTCTACCTTTAAAATATGAAAGGAATTCAGAAAATTCAGAT